CTGCAATTGTATGGGGAATATAACAATAAAATTTATTAAAAAAAAAAAAAAATGACACTTCACTGTAGGAACTGAATGCTCAGGGAGGTGTGGGGAGACAGCGGCCCTGTGTTTGCCTTTCCTGGTATGGAACCACTGCCTCATGGGATGGGCCAATCGCAATTGGAACTCATTATTTCCAGTGTACCTCAGCCAATGTAGATACACTGTTCTGTGAATTGGGACTAGTCAGAAGAAGACGCCACCTTTTAGCCATACACACTCAGGATTTAGCTTCAGCAACAGGTAGCTGGGGGCAGTATGAGAAAAAGTAATATTCTGCACCTCTGAATAAAGCCCTTTGACTGGGAGCTAGGGAATAAAGTAGAAATGTGACTAGAACTGTGCAGGGTAATGTCTTTGCATCGCTGAACTGAAATGCAGAGTAAAAGAGTAGTTGTGATATAAATACCAAAGACTCATCTTTCTTACCATGGATTTTCTTGAGTAGATATTTCTTCATATATTGTTTATCCTTTGTACTATTTCCAGAAACTTTAATAGTTCAATAGTTGTTTTTTTTTTCCATAATTTCACCGGTTTCATTGGAGAGTAGGTCAGCACACCTCACACTAACATGATGAAAGTCCATCCCCTTCTATTTCTTTTTAACACTTCTCTTACCCCGTATTAGACTAGCACTTGATCATATTTTAGCTAATGGGAAACCCTCTAAGATCAGTGCTGCATTGACTATCAACTACATGTATTCTCCTGTTGCTCTTTGAAAGACCTACCTAGATAAAGCTTTGCATTTTTTTTTAAGATTTATTTTATTTATTCAAGAGCCAGGTACAGGCTAGATGTGTGGGAGGGTGAAAGGAGTCACCAGAGACAGAGTGGGGAACAGAACAGGCAGACTGAAGAAATACACTGCTCAGGGGAGCAGCGGGCGGGACAGGTGAGGTCTGCTCGCCATGTGGGTTGCTCCGAGGCCGGTGCGGATAGAACCGGCACTGCAGAGGCTGCGGACAGCTTCACAGCGCTGCTGCGCTCAACCGCCTGCGCCACCAGAGAGGCCCAAACTTTTGCATTTCTACAGATAATTCCTTAACTTACTAAATTGAGCTGTAGGTATTTAGATCAAGTTGGGAAAGTGAACTGGTTTGTGTAGGGATGTTTTTAGTGTCTCTCGGAAGTGGAAGGGGTGAGTAAGAATTCCATATTGTATGGAGTATCCATTAGAATTTGCTTAATGTTTTGAAGGCTAAAACTTGGTCTTAACATTTCTGTTTCTCACTAAAACTTATAAATGTCTATTAAGTTCTTAACTCTTTTGAAATATGCAAGTTTTTAAGTTCCTATTATATCATCCAGTTGTAATGTGAACTTGAAAATTTGCATATACTAAAACACACCTACAGAAATGGGAGCATACTACATATGTCTTAGATGTCTTGATTTTTTTCTCTTAATTTTTAAAAATGATAGAATTAATTTTTTTAGAGCAGTTTTAGGTTTACAGAAAAATTGAGCAGAAAGTACAGTTTCACTTTCCATACACCCCCATCTACCCTATCACCACAGCACAGTTTTCTTATTATTAGTATCCTACATTAGTTTGATACACTTGTTACAATTAGTAAGTCAATATTGGTACATTATCATTAACTAAAGCCTATAGATTATATTAGGGTTCATTCTTTGTATTGTATCTCCTATATATTTTATTTGTATTGTATATATTTGTATTGTATCTCCTATAATATTTAATGTATTGTGTCAGCTTTATAGTATCATACAGAATAGTTTCTCAGCCCTAATAATCCCTCTGCCTTCTGTTTTTTATCCTTCCCTCTTTCTCCTTCAACCCCTGGCAACCAATTATCCTTTTACTTAATACTTTTTCATTTTTCATAAAGTTATGTTGGGTTTATACATTATGTGACCTTTTCGGATTGACTTCTTTCACTTAGCAATATGTACTTAGGACTGCTCTGTGGTTTTGTGGCTTACTAGCTAATTTATTTATTTATTTATTTATTTAAAAGATTTGTTTATTAATTTATACAAGCACGGGTACAGTCAGAAGCATGGGAGGGTGAGAGAATCCACCAGAGCCAGAGCGGGGAGCAGAGCAGGCAGAAGGACCAAAGTACACTGCTGAGGGGAGCAGCAGGCTGCAGGAGAGGTCTGCATACCATGTGGGACCCTCGCCCGGTGGCCGGGGATCGAACCTGCGCTGCAGAGGCTGTGGGCAGCTTCATAGCCCAGCACTCAACCGCTGCGCCACCGGGGAGGCCCACTAGCTAATTTATTTTTATTGCTACATGATATCTCATTGTGTATATGTATAACAGTTTGTTTATTCACCTAATGAAGGACATCTTGTTTGCTTCAAGTATTGGTAGTTATGTATAAGTATTATAAATATCCAATGATTTTATTTGTGAATGTATTTGTGGGCATAGTTTTTCAACTCATTTGGCTAAATACCAAGTTGTGGAGTTATTGCTGGATTGTATGTTCAGACAATGTTAAGTTGTCAACTGTCAAAGTGACTATATCATTTTACATTCCCACCACCAATGAATGAGAGTTCCTTTTGCTCCACACACTCCATCATTTGGTGTTATTAGCATTTTGGATTGCTGTTTTAATCTGCAATTCTTTGATGACATATGATAGCAGCTTTTCAAATGCTTATTTGCAACATGTATTTCTTCTTTGATGAGGTGTCCATATATTTTGCCCATTTTAAACTATATTGTTTGTTTACTTTCTATTTTGTTTAAGAGTGTTTATAGACTTTTGATGCAAGTCATTTATCAGATAACATGTTTTGCAAAGCTTTTCTCCAAGTCTGGGATTTTCATTCTCTTAGCACTGTTTTTCACAGAGCAGAAAATTTTTATTTTAATGATGTGCGATTTATTGTGCATTATGCTTTTGGTGTTCTAAAAACATATCATCCAGGGCCTCCCCGGTGGCGCAGCGGTTGAGCGCTGGGTTGCGAAGCTGCCTGCAACCTCTGCAGCGCCAGTTCGATCCCCGGCTGCTCCCCGGCCATCGGAGGAGGGTCCTGCATGGCGCGCAGACCTCTCCTGCCGCCCACTGCTCCCCTCAGCAGTGTACTTCGGTCCTTCTGCCTGCTCTGCTCCCCGCTCTGGCTCTGGTGAATTCTCTCACCCTCCCGTGCTTCTGACTGTACCCAGTGCTTGAATGAATGAATGAATGAATGAATAAATAAATCTTAAAAAAAAAAAAAAACATATCATCCAAACCAAGGTCATATAGATTTTCTCCTCTATTATTATTGTCTGCAAGTTTTGTAGTTTTGCTCATTTATGTCTATGATCCATTTTGAGTTAATTTTTGTCAAAGATGTAAGTTCTATATTTAGGTTATTTCATTGTACATTTTTTTTTGCAGAGTTATCCAGTTGTTCCACTCTCACTTATTAAGGACTTTCCTTTCCCTACTGAATTGTCTTTGCTTCTTTATCAGAGATCTGTTAAGTATATTTATATGAGTCTTCCTTTTAGAATATCTATTCTGTTATCCTGATTCATCTATTCTTTCACCAATACCACACTGTCTTGATTATTATAGCTTTATAAATGTCGTAAAGTCAAGTTATGTCTTTCTTCTGACTTTGTTCCTCTCCAACATTGTGTGGCTAGTCTGAGTATATTGTCTTTCAGTATAAACTTCAGAATCAATTTGTTGATATTAAAATTGGTTCTTGATTATATTACCTTGAGCCTGTACATCAAGTTGGAAGAACTAATATCCTGCCAATAGAATTCCTTTACATGAACATGGAAGATCTTTTCAATTATTTAGATCACCTTTAATTTCTTTTTTTTTAAAGATTTATTTATTTATGCATACAACAGCTGGGGTACAGGCCAGAGGTGTAGGGGGTGAGAGAATTCACCAGAGACAGACTGGGGAACAGAACAGGCAGATTGACTGAAGTACACTGCTGAGGAGAGCAGCGGGCAAGTCAGGAGAGGTCTGCTGTGCCATGTGGGTTGCTCCCTGGCCGCCTGGGAATCGAACTCGTGCTGTAGTGGCTGTGTTTGCTTCATAGGTTGCGTCCCAACCCTTGCGCCACCAGGGAGGCCCCATCTTTAATTTCTTTAATTAGACTCTTGCTTTTTTCACTTGTGAGTATCTCGGATATCACTTTACGTTAACTTATAATATAGATAGACCTACTTCACCCTTTTTAACAGTTGCATAATATTTCATTGTGTGGTTGTACAAAAATTTACATAGCCATTCCCATATTGGTGGATATTTAGGTTGTTTCTAATCTGCTACCACAGTGATGCAGAGAGAGTCTTATATAATTTATCTTTGTGCACATGTGTGGGTCAATCTTTGGATAAATTCCTAGGCATAAATTCATTTCATTATATGTATATTATATAAATTTTGGTAACTTTGCCCAATTTATTGCTATAAAAGTATTAACTTATTCTCCTAAAATAGTAGATGAGAGTGTTTATTTTCTATCATCTCACCAGTATAGCAATTAACAAATATTATAATCTTTATTAATTGGATTAGTAAAAAATAGATATTATTGTAGTGTTTATATTTCTTCTAAATATGAGGTTGGACATCTCATCTATTTAAAAGCCCCGTTTTAAAAAACTGACTATCTGGTGGAAAAGTTTGAATTATGCTTAACTTGAAATTGGTTAAAATAAATGAAGTCTAGTAAGATATTTAAGATTTTGTCACTTTCTAAAATGCAAGACCTTTTAATATTTATTCCAATTCATAAAACCATTTGTGTAATGATACATATGTATCTGAAGCATTTTTAGACTTACTGGTACTTTTTTTTTTTTTTTGACTTACTGGTACTTTTTATCTGGACCTCTACATTGGTTCCATTGATACTAATTCTTCTTTTCCCTTTGACCTTAACTTTATCTTAAAAGTTTTTTAAGAAAATATTTTGTGTATTTCTCCATGAAAAAGTGTTTTATTCTTGTCTGTGGCAGACCTGTGGATATCTGGGCTTTGGGCTGTATGATCATTGAGATGGCTACAGGAAATCCATATCTTCCTAGCAGCTCTGATTTGGATTTACTTCATAAAATCGTGTTAAAAGTAGGTAGGTATTACTAAAATATATTGTTCAATGCCTAAAATAAAATTGCCAGATCAATTATGCTTAGTTTTCAGATTTAGTTTTTTCTTTATAAGAAAGGAAAGCATACTGTATTGATAGATGGCAACAGATGAATGCCTTGGGCTGATGACAGTAGAAAATTCTTCTCTGATTTTGCAAATAGTATTTTCTTTGCCAGGATGCAGATAGTTTAGCCATATGTTGATGGCTGATGCTAACAAAAATAATCAATAAAAAGTTACTTCAATTTGTAGGAAAATTGTTTTTAAATTTTGACTTCTACAAATTATTTGCACCCCTTAATAGAGGCTATTTAGATGTTTTCTAAAAGCATTGGGAGATAGAAAATTATTTGCTTAGAAAATTTTTTTATCACAGTTGATAACTAGTTAGCTAAATAATTTGTTCAAAAATTGATGAGAACTGAGTAATTTGATGTTTTGACTACTCAAACATTTTGATGGTTAGCCTTGCTTATGAAGTTTCAGTGATTTTTTTTTTTAAATATATATATATTTCTCATATGAGGAGTTTGAGGAACCCTTTATGTGGTGGGGAAGCTCTGCATAAGCATGTGTTTAGGACCATAAGGAAGGTACTGTGGACAGCTATTAAAAGCTGTGAAATATTGATTAAAGATGCAGTTTAGAGGCTTAATGCATCTCTTGTGTCATCTTTAAAGTTCTGGTTATAACATTAAAGTTAGACAAGAAGCCTTAGAATTGGGATAAGACTGGTCATTTTACAGATGAGGAAATGAAAACACCAAAGAGAAGAGATTTGCCCAAAGTAGTAAAACTAGTTATACCAAATTCATGCTAAAATTCACCTATCTCTACTATTTATATTCCTTTACTTTCTACTACTACTCCCTACTATTGTTTCTTGCTTGAAATATTTCTTTTCTTTTTAAAAAAAATTCAGGTAATATTGGTTTCCAACACACTGTATGATTTAGGGGGATAGATTCACACCTACTCAGATGTACAATATATCACCATACCTGCCATCAATCTTTGCACTATTTCTGTTAACAATTTTAATATTTCTGCTCTTTGTTGATGAACACTTGCTAGCTAGACCATTTATATATCCATATGGAAATATGTAAAACTTTCAATGTGTTTTCCCTATAGTATTGTATGATATATCTGATATTTTGGTAGAAGAAAGTGAACCCTGTGGTTTTACATTCTCTACTACCTATACACTTTGCTATGTGTACAGGTTGCTGGGGAAACCTCAATTTTTTCATGCTATATTCAAATATTTCCTTGTTCAATTTTTTAAAAAAAAATTAAAGGAACGTAACTGCTATTCTCCTTCTTCAGTAATTTTATGTAAGCCACATAGCAGTTTATTTTAATTGTAGGCTAATTTCTCTGTTTTCTTATATACATACTTTTTCTCTTTTCAGGCAATTTGACACCTCATTTACAGAATATCTTTTCAAAAAGTCCCATTTTTGCTGGGGTGGTCCTTCCTCAAGTTCAGCACCCCAAAAATGCAAGAAAAAAATACCCCAAACTAAATGGATTGTTGGCAGATATAGTTCACGTATGTTAAAAGATTAATCATTTACTTCGGGGAAATTTTTCTAAATTATAATACAGTTTTAGAATATACATGAAATTGCAAACTTATAAGTAATGTTAAATGTAATGTATCATATCTATTAAGATGTCAAGCATCAGTTAAAAGTTACTATTTTCCTCTATCTTTATATATTTAGTTCAGGTAAATTGTAATCCATAGACTGTTAGAACTGAAAATCCTCTAGGACAATCTTGGCTATTTTTTTTTTTTTTTTTTTGTGGGACAAAAAAAGTACAGTACTGCTGTCCCCTCAGCAGTATACTTCGTCAGTCTGCCTGTTCTGCTCCCCACTCTGTCTCTGGTGAATCTTCTCACCCTACCGCACATCTGGCCTGTACCCCTGTTCTTGTATAAATAAATAAATCTTAAAAAAATTTTCTAAAAAAAAAAATTAGTTTTCTGAATTTCAAAGCAAGTGTAACTTAGTATTTATAAGAAGAGACACTGGAATCACAGAGACTATATTTAAAACCCATCTCTGTCACTATTTAGCTCTGTACCTTTGGGCAAGTCATTTAATCTCTGTGTCTCAGTTTACTGCGCTATAAACCAACATTAACAGTATTTATTTTCTGGGGCTAGAGGATTAAATGAGGTAATGGTAGACATGGTATTAGCACAGAGCCTTGAATAAGCTGTTAACATATGTTAATGTTAATTGTTTCAGTGTTTTAGATAGACTTAAATATATGATATATAACATCTTAAGATTATTCTTGAAGGAAAAAAGTTCATATTGGTACCTTACCTGGAAAGAACAAGTGTCATATATTTTTACTATATTTCATCTTTTTTTTTTAAGAGTTTTTTTTTTTTTAAAGATTTATTTATTTATTTATACAAGCACTGGGGTATAGTCAGAAGTGCGGGAGGGTGAGAGAATTCACCAGAGCCAGAGCAGAGAGCAGAACAGGCAGACTGAAGAAGTACACTGCTGAGGGGAGCAGTGGGCGGCAGGAGAGGTCTGTGCACCATCTGGGACCCTCGACGGTGGCCTGGGATCGAACTGGTGATGCAGAGGCTAGGGGCAGGTTCGCAGCCCAGCACTTAACTGCTGCGCTACCAGGGGAGGCCCTATTTCATCTTAATTTCTCTTTTTATTTTATAGTTTTAATTATCAAAGGAATACATAATGATCACAGAAAAAGTGGAAAACACATGATAAACAAAAAAGAGAAATTAAGATTTCCCCAACCCTCACACTCTGAAAAAAATTGCTATTAACATTTTAGTTTTTACAAAGTAAATAATCCAGTCAAATAATGGGCTTAAGAGCTAAAAAGAAACTTCTCCAAAGAGGAAATGCAAATGGCCAACAGGCATATGAAAAAATATTCAACAACACTTGTAATCAGGGAATTGCAAATCAAATCTACAATGAGATCCCATCTTACACCAGTGAGAATGGCACGTATTGAAAAACTTGAAACAACAAATGTTGGCGATGTTGGGGAGAAAAAGGAACTCTCCTGCACTGCTGGTGGGAGTGCAAACTGGTCCAACCACTATGGAAACCTGTTTGGAGATTCCTCAACCTGCTAAAGATGGAGCTTCCATATGATCCAGCAATTTCACTCCTAAGTATTTACCCAAAAGACTCAAACATTAATTCAAAAGGGCACCTGCACCCCTATGTTTATAACAGCACTATTTACAATAGGTAAGCTATAGAAACAACCCAAATGCCCAAAAATAGATGACTGGATCAAGAAGATGTGGTACATATACACAATGGAATATTACTCAGCAATCAAAAAAGATAAACTCATACAATTTGCAGCAACATGGATGGAGCTGGAAGGGATCATGCTCAGCGAAATAAGTCAGAAAGAAAAAATACCAGATGGTCTCACTCATTGCAGGAATTTAGAAAGCCTAAATAAGGGACCAGGAAAAAGACTAATTACAATAAAGTAAAAATCAAAAGCAACAAGCAACTATAAACCAGAGACACTGGGGTGGGGGGAAGAGGGAGGAGGATCAAAACAAGGGGGAATGGGAATTGTATGGGGACTATAACCAAGATGAAAATGAAAAATGAAAAATGATGTAAAAAATATATAAAATAAAAAAAATAATAAAAAAGTAAAATCTAATTAACATAAAAACATTTTAGTTTTTATACTTCTGGACTGTTCCCAGTGAAATATATACATAGAAATTTGTGCCTTTTGGGGCCTCCCTAGTGGTGCAAGGGCTTAAAAAGCAACCTATGAAGCTTTTCGCAGCCACTGCAGTTTTATCCCCTGCCAGGGAGCTACCCACAATGGCGAAGCAGACTTCTCCTGTCGCGCCCACTGCTCCACTCAGCAGTGTGTTTCGGTTGTTCTGCCTGTTCCATTCCCCGCTCTGTCTCTGGTATCCTCTCACCCCCCACATCTCTGGCCTATACCCCAGCTCTTGTATGCATGGATAAATAAATCTTTAAAAAAAAAAAAAAAGAAATTCGCACACTGTGTCTAGCAAGTTTATTTTCACTTAGTATATGTAAATATATCACCATGTCAATAAATATGAAAGTATGTAATAATTTTGAGCATTTATTTTCAGTGCAATTTTGTATTTTTAAGTAGCATTGTATATAAACTCCCACTTTTAGTCTAGCACTGGATATAATAATTTTTAAATCTTTGCCAACTTAATAAGTTAGAACTGCTATCATTTATTTTTTTAAAGATTTATTTATGTATACAAGAAGTGGGGTGCACGCCAGAGGTGTGGGGGGTGAGAGGATTCACCAGAGGCAAAGTGGGGAGCAGAATAGGCAGATCTACTAAAATACACTGCTGAGGGGAGCAGCAGGCATGGTCTGCTGCGCCATGTGGGTTAGCTCCCTGGCTGGGGATCAAACTTATGCTTCAGTGGCTGCTATAGCTTCATAGTGCTGAGACTTAACCCCTTGGCTGTCAGGGAGGCCCAGTATCATTTCTTTAATTGCACTGACATTTCAGAACAGATTGGTTATTTATATTTCTTATTTTAAGAATCCTTTGTCTTTTTGTCAACTAGAGTATCTTTTTCATATTTACTTGTAAAATAATAAAAATGTGAATCTTTTGTTATGTATGTTGCAAAGACTTTCAACTTGACTAATATATTATCATATTTATCATAGACATGTATCATATATACATACTTGGGTTGTTATTCTCATATTGTATCATTTTGATCATTGTCATTTTTTTAAAGATTTATTTATGCACACAAGAACTGGGGTACAGGCCAGAGGTGTGGGGGTGAGAGGATTCACCAGAGACAGAGTGGGGAGCAGAATAGGCAGATTGACTGAAGTACACTGCTGAGGGGAGCTGAGGGCGAATCAGGAGAGGTCTGCTGCCCCATGTGGGTTGCTCCCTGGCTGGGGATCAAACTCATGCTGCAGTGGCTGTGGATAGCTTCATAGGTTGTGTTTTAACCCCTTGTACCACCAGGGAGGCCCCTGATCATTGTCTTTTTAAAGTACATCTTATTATATGGGGAAGGGCAGGTATTTTTTCCTAGATTTTAAATTTTCTAAATGACTTTAGTGTGGTATAATATACCTACAATAAATTGTACATACTTACAATGTACAATTTAATAGATTTTAGTAAATGTTTACACCTGAGACCACCACCACAATCAAGATACCTAACTTTTCCATCATCCCCCTAATTTCCTTTTTCAATCCACCTTTTCCTTCATTCCTGTCTCCAGACAACCACTGATTTGCTTTCTGTCTCTATAGGTTAGTTTGCATTTTCTAAAGTATTGCATAAATGAAATCACACTATGTACTCTTTTATGTCTAGCTTCTTAAACTCAGCATTGTGGTTTAGAGATTGATTCATGTGGGTTTGTTTTTTTGTGTGTGTGTCACCGTTTATTCCATTTTACTGCTGAATAGTATTTTACTGCATGAGTATATCAGTTTTTTTAAATTCCTGTTTTGGATTGTTTCCTATTATTGACTATTTCAAAGAAAATTGCAGTGAACATTCATGCACAAAATTTTATGTAGATCTATATTTTCCTTTTGGTAAACATCTAAGAGTAAATGATGTGTTTAACTGCCATCCTGATTCTCAAAGTATCACATTTTTTACAGTTCTCAAAATAGGACATATATTGAACTTTTCTGAATTATATTTTTCATAAAAGGACTAATATGTTTGCCTCTAGACTTGAGCAGACCTTTTAGCATTTTTCTTACTAAATTTTACTGATAGTCTACTATTATATTCTAAAATAAGGCCAGAGGCCTCCTGGGTGGCCCAAGGGTTTAAGTGTCAGTATGATGAAGCAATCTGCTGCTACTGAAGCACGAGTTCCATGCCTGGCCAGGGAGCTGACCCTTGACACCTCTGGCCTGTACCCCAGTTCTTGTATGCATAAATGAATAAATCTTTAAAAAATAAAATAAGCCCATATTTTTATTTTTTTTTTTAATTTTTAAAAGATTTATTTATTTATTTATACAAGCACGGGTACAGTCAGAAGCACGGGAGGGTGAGAGAATCCACCAGAGCCAGAGCGGGGAACAGAACAGGCAGATGGACCGAAATACATTGCTGAGGGGAGCAGCTGGTGGCAGGAGAGGTCTGCGTGTCATGTGGGACCCTCGCCCCGGCCGGCGATCGATCGAAACTGCGCTGCAGAGGCTGCGGGCAGCTCCGCAGCCCAGCGCTCAACTGCTGCGCCACCAGGGGAGGCCCAAGCCCATGTTTTTAGCTAGTTACATTTTTTAGGAGCTAGGTATTCCAATTTCATAATTTCAATAATGGGCTCAATTTAACTTTTTGAGTCAACTTTTTTATTGTTGTAAAAAATAAACTTCTAAAATTTTAGAAACCCTCTAAAAATTTTAATATAAAGTACAGTATTGTTAACTATATTCGTATTGCTGTATAACAGGTCTCTATAATTTTTTCTTTGAATCAGTTAAAACATTTTGAAATAAGCAAAAGTGTAGTGTTACATATTTGGATTTTCAGCATTTTAATTCTGCCTCTTCTATTTATTAAATCTTAGACAAATTTCTTGACATCTCAGTGCCTCAGTCTCCTTATATGTACAATGGGATAATAATGATCCCTACCTTGAAGGTTCATTGTTGGGGTCAAGTAATAGGAAAAAGCTAGATGGGGTGTTATATGATGCATAATAGCCATCATTAAAATTACATATTATCATTGTGTTTGCTTTCCTTTAGAGGAGGGGTAACAATTGCAAAGCAAATGACTGATTCAAATTCTCTAATATTTATATTTTTATAATTATGGTTATTTATATGTAGATTGATTCTGTGCAAGTTATTATACAAAACTCTTCTTTCCATTATCTGTTTTAGTTTTGTGAGTATTTTGGGTTATTTCTCTATTGATCTATATATTATAATTAGTATTCCCAAGGTAGGGAAACAGAAAAGAGTTGTTCTAATAATTGATTATTGAAAGATTTGGGGACTTGGACATTTGTGAAATTATATTACACCATAGAAAGGACACTGGAAAAGGAATGAATCAAAATTCTTGCTTGACTTCTAGTTCTGTGAAATGAACTGTGAGTATATGAACTCTCCTACCTTACATGACTGATAAGAGGATCAAAGTGAGCTAACTAAGTTCTGCTAATTCTAGCAAAACAAACTACTGTTTTGGCTAGAATCATCCGAGCACTTAACCTGTAGTAATGCTTTATAATTTTTTAGGGAAAGCAATAACCAGAACTCACTGCCAGAAATTCCTGAGGTCTAATTCCACATTTTCAAGATCCTTTTTAACTTCCTTTTACAGTTATTAAATTTAAATTTTACCATATGATGCCCTGTTAAGAGCTTTCTTAACATGAGACTGTTTTTTAATTTACTAGGCTTGTTTACAAATTGATCCTGCTGAGAGGATATCATCTTCTGAACTTTTGCATCATGAGTATTTTACTAGAGATGGATTTATTGAAAAGTAAGCATTTTGAGTGAGTGAGCTTTCTAATGCTTTTATTAGGAAATTTTACTAGTATAAAATTTATTAGGAAATTTTACTAGTATAAAAATTGCTACTTAGATTAATGTTATACAAAGGAAAATCAATTTAACAAAAACTCATTGAATTCCAACTAATATCTTACTGACCCTTAGGTATTAGTTAGATTGTATGGTAAGCTTAGAGGTATCATGATTAAAACTCTAATAATAAAAATAATTGCAGCTAACTTTAATTATGTGGGTACTGTGTCCCAGAAAGTGTGCTAAGTTCTTTATACACATTTCCAGTAGCCATCAGAAATAATGCGAAATAACCAGTCTGTACTTTTTAACCTTATTCCCCTTTGGATGGCTGACTCAAAATAGTCCTGTTTTTTCTCTTCTGATAGCATCTCTGATTTATATAATTAGTATTTACTTCAAAAACTTATCTTTTCCCTCTGCTTTACTTATTCTGTGTTGCAGTACCTGTTGTCATATTCTTCCCACCAAATTGTATGTTCCCCACACATAAGGACCATGTCTCTTATAACCCTTCTGTGTCCCACACAGACTATAATATATAATGACACTGTGCATTCCTAAGTCAGCCACATTTCATATTTGATAGAAACAGAAAAGTTTTCTTTTTCTTTTCTTTTCTTTTTTTTTTTTTTTTTTTTTTCATAGACTAACTGGGATGTAGGCCAGAGGTGCTGGGAGTGAGAGGATGGGAGCAGGAAGCAGAACAGGAGAACAGGTGGATTTACTGAAACCCACTGCTGAGGGGAGCAGGGTGGCAAGACTGAGAGGTGTGCGACAGTGTCGGTTAGCTCCCTGGAAGGGGATCAAAGTCATGCCGCAGTGGCTGGCAATAGCTTGATAGTGCTCACATTTTAACCCCTGCACCACCAGGGGGGGTGCCAGAAAAGGTTTTTATTGTAAAATCAATCAGTTGGCCTTTGAATGTGACATTCAGAAAGATGGCCATCAATTAAAAATTAGATGAGTAAAGAGCAGGCATGGAAAAGTCTAGTTACTACCACTGTAGAGAGAAGAAAATAGAAAAATGCAAAGAAAAACAGACCCTTGATGGTGACTCAGACACCAGGCATTTCAGGAATTTTAATCTAAACCAAAAAATGAAAAACAATATATTGAAGTATCATTGATGAAAAATACCTGTTAGTGGAAAAAAAATGTTATTTTGTAACTGTTCCATATAGATTAGATTGATTTGTCTTGGGCATTAAGGTGTTAGGATTTGATTATTTAGAGTTGAAAGGTATTGAGTTCCTGACATAGAATCCTCAGACAAAATTAGGGGAGGATCTTTCCTTTGTGGACCTTCTCCAATGCAAGGGAACTTTGAGAGAAGTGGCATCTTCTCATTCAGCCAAACTAATCACACTGGTTCTTTATTTCTTTTATCTTCTCATACTCCAGTTATCCATGTGCCCTGCATTACCCTGGCAAGAATAGGCTGAACTAGGGGAGAATTAATTCATTTACTGATATTTTAAAACTCCTCCAAACTGATCTCAGTAACTGCCTCAAGGAGGGTACCCGTGCAACTCAGGAGCAGAGTTGGGAAGGACACTTTTCTTTGCAGTCATTTGAATTTTGAGCCATGTGAATGTTCTTTTATTAAAGAAAAAAAATTTTTTTAAGATTTACTTATTTATGCAAAAAAAGAGCTGGGGTACAGGCCAGAGATGCGGAGGGGGGGTTGAGAGGATTCCCAGACAGAGTGGGGAACAGAACAGGCAAACTGACTGAAATACACTGCTGAGGGGAGCAGTGGGCGAGACAGGAGAAGTCTGCTGCACCATGGGTGTTTCTCCCTGGCCAACCGGGGATCGAACTTGTGGTGCAGAGGCTGTGGATTGCTTCATAGTACAGTGCTTAACCCCCTGTGTCAGCAGGGAGGCCCTAAAAAAAAATTTAAGAGGGCCTCCCTGGTGGCACAGGCAGTTGAGTGCAACGCTGTGAAGCTGTCTGCAGCCTCTGCAGCGCAGGTTCAATCCTGGCCAGCCAGCGAGATACCCACACGGTGCAGCAGACCTCTCCTGTCTCACCCGCTGCTCCCTCAGCAGTGTAGTTCAATCAGTCTGCCTGTTCTGTTCCCCACTCTGTCTCTGGTGAATCCTCTTACCCTTCCACACATTTGGCCTGTACCCCAGTTCTTATATAAAATAAAATCTCAAAAAAATTTTTAAGAAAGTTAAGTTAAAGCCTAAACAATACCCATTCATTTTGTTACATGCTGTTACATTTTGTACTGAATACATTTCTTAGCACCTTTTTTTTTTACTTTTTTTTAAAAAAAAATTGTATTTATTTATTATTTTTAAGATTTATTTATTTTTGCATACAAGAGCTGGGGTACAGGCCAGAGATGTGGGGGGTGAGAGGATCCACCAGAGACAGAGTGGGGAACAGAAAAGGCAGACTGACCAAAATACACTGCTGAGGGGAGCAGCAGGCGAGACAAGAGAGGTCTGCCTCTCCATGTGGGTTTCTCCCTGGCTGGCCGGGAATTGAACATGTGCTGCAGAGACTGTGGATTGCTTCATAGTGTGGTGCCTAACCCCTTGCGCCACCAGGGAGGCCCAGCACCTATTTTTTAAAAAGTTTTATTTATTTATGCATACAAGAACTGGGGTGTAGGCCAGAGGTGCAGGGGGTGAGAGGATTCACCAGAGACAGTGGAGAGCAGAACAGGCAGACTGACTGAAATACACTGCTGAGGGAAGCAGCAGGCGAGCCATCTGCTGTGCCATGTGGGTTGCTCCCTGGCCGGCTGGGGAATGGAACTCGTGCTGCAGAGGCTGCAGATTGCTTCATAGAGCGAGGCTTAACACCTTGCGCCACAAGGGAGGCTAGCACCTATTTTTAAGGTAAACTTTTTTTTTTTTCTGCAAAGATTTTATTTGTGCATATTGGGAGGTGGGAGGGTTGTTAGTCTTTCTTGGCAGCTGCCTTCCTCATGGCAGCCAGGACATTGTTCAACTCCTCTCTCTTCCTCTTGGCGCGGATGTGTGTCCCCACCCTTTTCTTGATGAACTTGAGGGCCCGCTTGTCTTTGGAGACCTTGAGCAACTCCATGGCGCGCCGCTCATAGGGGGCAAAGCCACACACCTCCCGGATCATGTCCCGCACTTGGTGGGCTTGGTGAGGCGGCCGCAGCGGCGGCTGTGTCTCGGCTTGCTCACATTCTTTGTCACCTTGTGGCCCTTGTTGAGGCCCACGGCCATGGGGTAGCGCAGAGCCATGGCTGCTGCTGTGGAATGGCCGCCACTGCGGAGAGTTTAAGGTAAACTTTTTAATTCTGATTTTCAAAAATTCAGTTATTATTTATTGACATGTTGGTTTATAATACTGTATAATTTCAGGGTAGAGGTTCACACCTCTTCAAATGTTACCATACCACACCTACCACCAAGGCCCCCATAATCCTCTGTCATAGTTTGTTGGGCTCCCTTACCCCTTTGCCCTCCACTCCACCACTCTCTCCCTCTAGTAGCCTCATTTCTACAGGCAGACTTCTAAAGTTTGTTTTGGTTTCATATTGTTTCTTTATGTTCCACATCTGAGTGAAATTCTCTCACATTTGTCTTGGTCCTTCTGTCTTATTTCACTTCACATAATCCCCTCCATTTCTATCCATGTTGTCAAAAATGGTAACTTTTCATTTTTTTATGTAACTGAGTAATATTCCTTTGTCTCAGTATATCACATCTTAATCCACTCATATACCATTGTTTACTTAGTTTGTTTCCATAACTTGACTATTAAAAATGGTGCTGCAGTCAACACAGGCATGCATATGTCTTTTTGAATTAATGTTTTTGCATTCTTTGGAAACGTACCTCATAGTGGATTGCTGCATCACATGGTAGATATATTTTTAAAGTTTTAAGAAGCCTCCATACTGTTCTCCATAAGGCTGGACTAGTCCACATTTTCACTAATGCTCTACACTTGTTTCTGGCCTTTTTTTTTTTTTTTAAGATTTTTAAAAATTTATGTATGCATATAAGGACTGGGGTATAAGCCAGAGGTGCGGGTGGTGAGAGGATTCACCAGAGACAGAGTGGGGAGCAGAACAGACAGATCCACTGAAGTACACTGCTGAGGGAAGCACTGGGCGAGACAGAAGAAGTCTGCTGTGCCATGTGGGTTAGCTCCCTGGCTGGGGATTGAACTCATGCCTCAGTGGCTGGCAATAGCTTGATAGTGCTGAGATTTTAACCCCTGAACTACAAGGGAGGCCCTCTGGTCTTTTTTTCTTTTTCTTTTTTTTTTTTTAGATTTATTTATTTATTTATACAAGCACTGGGTACAGTCAGAAGCGCGAGAGGGTGAGAGAATTCACCAGAGCCAGAGCAGGGAACAGAAGAGGCAGACTGATGAAATACACTGCTGAGGTGAGCAGCGGGTGGCCGGAGAGGTCTGCGCGCCATGCGGGACCTTCCTCCAGTGGCCGGGGAGCCGCTGGGAATTGAACCGGCGCTGCAGAGGCTGCAGGCAGTTTCGCAACCCAGCGCTCAACCACTGCTCCACCGGGGAGGCCCGCCTCTGGTCTTTTTAATGTGGACCATTCTCACAGATGTGAGGATGGTATCTCATTGTGGCCTTGATTTGCATTTTCCTGATAGTGAGTGAAGATGAGCATTTTCTCATGTGACTGTTGGCCATCTGTATGTTTTCTATGAAGAAGTGTCTATTTAGCTCTTTACCTGTTTTTGATTGGGTTATTTGTTTTCCTTTTCTTGAGTTTCATGAGTTCTTTGTGATCATGAATGTTAGTCCCTTGTTGGATGTATGATATGGGACTATGTTCTCCCATTCAGTAGGTTGTCTCTTTGTTTTAATGATAAGTTTCTTTCATTGGCTGTGCAGGTTTTTTTTTAGTGATATAGTCATATTTGTTTATGTTTGCTTTTGCTGCCTTTGCTGTTGGATTCAAGACCTCAAAGACATCTCTGAGCCCAATATTGTGGAGTTTTTGCCTATGTTTTCATCTCTATATTTTATGGTTTAAGGTCTTGTATCCAAGTCTTTAATATAGTTTTAGTTAATTTTTGTGTATGGTGTAAGATAGTGACAGTTTAATTTTTTTTGCATTTAGCGGTACATTGAATCTTTCTCCATTGTGTACTTTTAGTTCCTTTGTTGTAGATTAATTGTCCATACAAGTGTGGGTTTATTTCTGGGCTCTCAATTCTGTTCCATTGTTCTCTATTTTTAGTCTAATACCATCCTGTTTTGATCACTATAGTTTTGTGTTATAGTTTGAAGTCTGGGCATTTGGTGCCTTTCTCTTTTTTTGCTGTATTTACTTTGACTAATAGGATTCTACATGAATTTCAGTAATGTTTCAGCTATTCTAAGAATCATTGAAACTCTGACTGGGATTACATTGAGTATGTCTGTTGCTTTGGGTAAAGTGACCATTTTAACAATGTTAATTCTTTCAATACATAAGCAGGGAATATCTCTCCATTTCTGTATCTATTTCTGTGAACAGCATAATTTTTTTAAAGATTTATTTATTTATGCATGTAAGAACTGGGGTACAGGCCAAAGGTGCCAGGGGTGAAAGTGTTCACTAGAGACAGAGTAGGGACCAGAACAGGCAGATTGACTGAAAATACACTGCTGAGGGGAGCAGCGGGCAAGACAGGAGAGGTCTGCTGTGCCATGTGGGTTAACTCCCTGGCCAGGAATCGAACTCGTGCTACAGTGGCTGCTGAGAGCTTCATAGTGCTGCACTTAACCCCTTGCTCCATCAGGGAGTCCCCCCTCTTATAATTTTTATTGTACAGCTATTTCAGCTCTTTGTTATTCATCTAGGTATTTAATTCCTTACTATGCCATTGTAAATGGGAAAGTTTTCTTGATTTCTTTGTCCTTTCGTTCATTGTTCATGTTTAGGAACACAACCAATTTTTGTATATTGCCTTTGTAGCCTGACACTTAACTGATTTGTTTTTAATAGTCTTTTTTTTTTGTGTGTGTGTGTAGAGTCTTTGAGTTTTCTACATGTCTCATCTGCAAATAGTGGCAGTTTTACTTCTTTTCCAATTTGGCTTCCTTTTATATCTTTTCCTTGCTTAATTACTCTAGCTAGAACTTCCAATAATTAAGTACTATTACTTTACAGAACCACAAAAAGGGACAAAATTGCCTCAGTCTTCCTCAAATAGAATAGTATTTATCAATATTAAAAGAAGTACTTTATTGAATAACAATTGCTTCACCAAGGAAACTAATTCATATAAATCTACTTTGAAAAGTGTTATAAATTCCCATAGAAACTTTTTTGTAAGATATATTATTTTTAAAGATTTATTTTATTTATTTATGGATACAAGAACTGGGGTATAGGACAGAGATATGGGGTGTGAGAGGATTCACCAGAGACAGGGTGGGGAGCAGAACAGGCAGATCTATTGAAATACAATGCTGAGGGGAGCAGCAGGAGAGACAGGAGAGGTGTGCTGCTCCATGTGGGTTAGCTCCCTGGCCTGGGATCAAATTCATATTGCAGTGGCTGGCGATAGCTTATAGCACTAGATTTTAACCTCTGCGCTAGCAGGGAGGGCCTTTTGTAAGGTATATCTTTACCAGGAAACAATTTTTATTAGGTGCATATTGTGCTATCCATGGGGATGCATTATTGATGACTTATTTATGTGATACCAGAAATGTAAATTAATTGATTAAATGGGTCTGTTAAAGATAAAATAGACTTATTTACATAAATAAATCGATTCTTTGTTTATACTGCTTGTTTTCTCAGATTTATACCAGAACTGAGAGCTAAGTTACTTCAAGAAGCAAAAGTCAATTCATTCATAAAGCCAAAAGAGAATTCTAAGGAAAATGAAGTTATGAAAGATGAGAGAAAAACAGTTTACACCAATACACTAAATACTTCAGTTCTGGGAAAGGTAAAAACCAGTTTTCTATTTAATCAGTTTAACTGTATTATAGTTAGCACTCTAAAATAATGGACCTCTTGAGTCACATTTTGGATGTATCCATTTTAGGAAATGGAAAAAGAGAAAAAGCCCAAGGAAATCAAAGCTAGAGCTTTAAAAGTTAAAGGAGGAAAAGGAGATATATTAGAACAAAAAAAGACAGAGTGTGAAGGTGGACATATTCAACAGGATGCAGTTAAAAATGCTCAAACTACATCTCAAGATATAAAACCTGTAAATAATAAACCAAACCCTGTCAATCCTGTCAACAACTGTAATGGCATGAAAGATGATCCACATGCTGGAGGTAGTATGATGATGCCACCCATCAACCTAAATACCAGTAACTTAATGACTTCAAATCTCAGTTCGAATCTCACCCACTCCAATTCAAGGTGAGTTGTAACAGGAAAGAGACTGAAGGAAATGGACCTAAGTAATATGGTGGTCTTATCATTTAATGATATTTCAAAGACTCCAATTCATAGTATTTATGTAGAAACTGAATTTGAAGATAAATTGAAATTATCATCAGATGATAGATAATTACTAGATGGTTTTTTATGAATGCTAGAGAAGAATTGAACTTAGCTATATAGATGCTTAATTTTTCAGTAACAATTTTCATTTTAAAAAACTCATTAGGGCCTTCCCGGTGGCGCAGTGGTTGAGCGTTGGGTTGCGAAACTGCCTGCAGCCACTGCAGCGCCAGTTCCATCCCCGGCCGCCGGGCGAGGGTCTCACATGGCACGCAGACTTCTCCTGCCGCCCACTGCTCCCCTCAGCAGTATACTTTGGTCCTTCTGCCTGCTCTGCTCCCCGCTGTGGCTCTAGTGAATTCTCTCACCCTCCCGCGCTTCTGACTGTACTCAGTGCTTGTATAAATAAATAAATAAATCTTTAAAAAAAAAGAAAAAAAAAAACTCAGCAAAGTTTCTTCATTTTGAAGAGAGCAAAAGGTGATATGACCAAAGTTCTGGTGTTAATGTAACTAGATGTAACAAAATTTATTTCTGTATCCCGGCAAACTCTCTAAAAGGAGAAAGGATAGCTGGATATAATCTTTTATTGTCAAATAGTGTTCATGGTGAAATATTTTGGGAGAAAAACAACAAATTGGGCCAGTTTTAGATTTAGCTACTAATACATACTGAGTGACTGGTACCATAAGTTTGATTAATTAAGGGCAATGTGATAGATGGCAAGGCCTATCTAGCACGGTTTCAGGGTCAATTTTATTTTATTTATTTTTTAAAAGATTTATTTATTTATGCATACAAGAGATGGGGTACAGACCAGATATGCAGGGGGATGAGAGGATTCACCAGAAACAGAGTAGGGAACAGAACAGGCAGATGAACTGAAATACACTGCTGAGGGGAGCAGCGGGCAAGACAGGAGAGGTCTGCTTCGCCATGTAGGTTGCTCCCTGGCCGGCTGGGGGAATCAAACTCATGCCGCAGAAGTTGAGGATTGCTTCATAGTGCGATGCTTAACCCCTTGCACCACCAGGGAGGCCCCCTTAGGGTCAATTTTAAATTTAGGGGAAACTACTGTGAATCTAGATGAGAAACGAGAATAGGTTCAATAACCTACATTGATCCTGGGAAGCTGTTTTGGACTATTCATTATAAAGCTTAAAGTCTTCAGAGATCAGTAATATCTTAACAGGTTGTACACATAATATATATGCAACATGTTGAAAATATAATTTGCTATAATCTTTAAGAAAATGTCTGCAGATATGGGCAAATGGAGATGTCTCTATCTCCAAAGGTATTGCTGGTAGCAAACATGTAACCCCAAAGCCACAGTTGGAGTTGCCATCCAGCCTTGGACAGTAAGCTCAGAAATTCAGAAACCTAGTATTTAAGAGATCCAGGTTCGGAACAGATAGAAAGGACCAACTAGACCTGCTGGAGTAATCCCAGAACATGTCACCATTGATGTTAGCCATGAGTTAGTTGTTCTCTGCTCTGTTTTCACCTGTCTGTTTAAAACAATTAACACTTAAGGGGTGACAATTCCATTTTGGTTTAGTGCTCTTATAGCCCACTTCCATAGTATAACTGAGTCTTTATTGAAGCTAACAGAGAACTGCTTTGGGAGTTTTAATAACTTCTCACTTGTTTTTAAATAATAGGGTAACTGAAAGAGCAAAAAAGAGACGTACTTCTTTACAAGCTATCGGACAAGTTATGTCTAATAGCAAACAAGAGGATACAGGTCTCGCTCAAGTAAGGCAAGAATGTAGTCATTGAAATATAGCCTCTTCAATGTAGTCCTGTCCTTCACTCCCTCTTGTCCTTTTCTCTATCTTTGAGGGTCTATCTAATGTTTTTCAAAATATGCTTTTATTTTCCTTTTTTTTTCTTCTTAAATTGAAAGTAGGCCATCATTTTCTTAGTGCTTTCACCATTTTAGTTAATTTTTTATAACTCAATCTGTACATTTAATATGTGACTTGGGCAAAATAAATAAAGATTTTCACCTTTAGAAACAAGACTGGTTTTTCACTTCAAAAGAATGTTTTTAATTTCTTATTTTATAGATTAAAAGGAATTGACAAATGGACACATCTTACTTTTCACTAAAAATTAATCAGTGTGGTTCATTCCCTAATTTTTACTAGGACTTTCCTAGTAACTTATTAAGAAATGGAAACACAATTTTCAAAAAATTGAGAACTACATAAATCCATCCAAGAGCAAGTGAATGTTTGAGTACACCAGAGAATATCCACACAGTAGGATATGATATGTTAGATTATAGAAGAGTGATCATTATCCCAGTCACGTGAGCAAGATTAGGTAACACAACAGATTTCCAGAATATTGGATTCACCTGCAATTTTTTCCCTTTGGGTTTTCCACATCATTTTAGAAAGAGAAAAATAAATTATTGTTAATATGAACTAAAGGCATATGTCCAAAATGCAGTGAATAGGAATAAAAATTGAATGTTAAGATTATGGTTTTCATGATCAAGACTATTACATTATTCTCAGAATAGTCAGACTGCTAAAAAAAAGTTTGGGTTATAAAATTTTATTGGAGTTTTTCTTTTTATATGTTTAACAATATTCTATTTCTTAATTATTAAAATAAGCTTGCAAAGAAAGGAATTATATCTCTCTCATACCATTCAAATGGCTGCAATTCTAAATTTGTCATTTAACAGTGACAAATACCTTTCTTCAAATTAACTTTTGTTTATTTGTTTGTTTAGAGCCAAATGGAGAAGGGTATATTAAATGAGCGAGCAGGTCAAAGTGACCAAATGGCAAATGGAAACAAAAGGAAGCTGAATTTTTCCAGATCTGACAGGAAAGAATTCCATTTCCCAGAATTGCCTTTCACAATACAGTCAAAGGAGATGAAAGGAATGGAAGGTACTCATTTGTTGCATAGTTTTACAGCTCTCCTGATGTAATCTTTTAAAAGATTGTTTTGTTTTCCTATAATGTAAATTAACATTCTATAATATGACTTAGGTGGAAAGTAGCAAATTGCAGTGAAAAATACCATCAGCTGATAAGAGTTTTTTTTTCCATAGTCAAATAAAAAGTGAGACTGACAGGAGATAATTTTGAAGAAGGGTTAAGGAAACTTTTCATTAGCTCAGTATTGAAATGTTAGAACAATATTTGAAGAAGGCGGTTCTGGTTTAGTATATGATCTGAGTAAATCAGTTACCTACATTTCTCCATGATTGTCTGTATAATAACTTGATGTGCTTTAGCCATCCAAGAATTTAGTAGATTAAGATTTATAACAAGTATTTACCTCTTAAAATGAAACTCATTTTTTTCCTGAATAAATGTTACGTTTCTTTGAAGAACAGTGACACCTTGTGAAAATTTAATATAATAGCAAGAATTTAGTAACTCAAGAGGAATTATCTGATCCACTTCACTTTTTATATCCAGAATTAAAAAAAAAGTCTTTTAATATCTGAGACTAAATGTAAATTTATAGACATAAAACACAATTGCCCCATTTTGTAATTACAATTCATGATTTATATAACTTCTTTATAATAAACTGACTTATTGGATGTCAGAATTTCCATTGGAAACTCTTGAAAAGAAAGTAAAACTTTAAGATAGGAATAACAAATTGTCATTGTTATATATATTTCTGCCAAAGTTAAACAGATAAAAGTGCTGAAGAGAGAACCAAAGAAAACAGATTTATCTAAAATACCAACTTTACTTAATACGGATCAGAATCAAGAAAAACAAGAGGTAAAGCTTTTTTCATTGATAGCTTTTACTAAAGACTGCTATTAGAACTTTAAACTTGGTATGTAAAGTTAGTTATTACTGATGGGAAGTTATATAAAAGTTCAAGATCCTATAATCTTTGAACTCTAGAAACAAATCTATTTTTTCCCAAAATAATCAACTATTAAAAGTTTTTGAAAGTTATTTTTGGGGGTAGTGAATACTGGCCCTCATTTGAATATTGAGTATTAGACTATATGATATAGAGAGAAAAATATGTGTATTGTATGTATCATCTAATATTGGATGGATAAACCATGCCAGCAGATGTGAACATTTGTTATACTGGCTGCAAGTCTATTTATATTGTCTTTAGTCTGTTCCTTCCTGTTTTCTCTCCAATTTATTACCCCATGTCCACCTACTGTTTTATCTTCACAAAGATTTGCTCTCAACTAGCTATCAGATAATCTTGTTGAAATGTCCCAACCACTATCTACCAGAGTGAATTTTATTTGGAAATCTTGAAGACCTTCCACATCCAAATGAAGACTCTCTAAATGAAACTCTTCTAAAGGGAGAAGATTATCTTGAGCATCTACTAAATTAAATCATATAGATGCCCTTCTATTCTTTTTTTTTTTTAAGATTTATTTATTTATTTATACAAGAATCGGGGTACAGGCCAGATGTGCGGGAAGGTGAGAGGAGGCACCAGAGACAGAGCGGGGAACAGAACAGGCAGACTGACTGAAATACACTGCTGAGGGGAGCAGTGGTCGAGACAGGAGAGGTCTGCTAGCCATGTGGGTTGTTCCGTAGCCAGCGGGGATTGAACCGGCACTGCAGAGGCTGCGGACAGCTCCACAGTGCTGTGCTCAACCGCCTACACTGCCAGGGAGGCCCATATGCCCTTCTATTCTACACACTTGTGGGGTCATCAACTTTACTACGTCACACAGTTATTAAGGAAATGTGATGAAATTGGAAAAATAGAGAAACTTTGATCAGAAAATATGGAAGAAGGCATTTTGATGAAGTCTATTCAATCACTACACTATTCAGGTAAAGTTACCAGATACTATCAGATATATTTTCATAGTGACATTTTGGGCTTATGCCTTATTCTTGGCCTTGAATTTCTTAAGAACTCCTCAGTCCACTTTGCAGAAAGTAGATTTTCTCTTTTCTAGATAGAACAAAAAAACCGTTAACAGTCACCTTTTAGTTCATTATGAAAAGAAATAAGCCTTTAAATGTTTAAATTTGGATTATTTACTCTAGTAATGGCATATTGAACAACACACCCTTTGGACTTTTTTAAATGTTTGGGTAAGTTAGGACTTCAGGGTTTGGGCTTATAAGTAATGTGTTTTGTGTTACCCAACTGTCCCATGAGAGCCCCCAAAACTAAAATTACATTCCAATGCAGGAAGAAAAGAACTTTAAGGTAGTCTTGTCATTTCTAAAATACATAAGTAAAGGAGGAGAAAATTCCCTTCTTACTCATAAGATGTAAAACTCCTGCAAAGAACCTTTTTAAAAGGTATCCTTGAAGCAGTTACGGTTATTAGAAATAACCGGAAGTTATCAGTGATGGGTGAAAGTGTTTATATTGCCAATTTGAAATCAGTTCTGATAAATGATTGAAATTGTGTATAAGGCTAATCCAAATGCTTTTAATAATTAATGTCAGAATTAAGAAACTATCCTAAATTTTGAGTTGGTAGTTTGTTATTTTTACTTACTTATTTTTAAAATTTATTTATTTATGCATATGAGAACTGGGGTACAGGCTAGAGGTGTGGGGGGTGAGAGGATACACCAGAGACAGAGTGGGAAACAGAAAGGCAGATTGACTGAAATATACTGCTGAGGGGAGCAGAGGGTGAACCAGGAGAGTCTGCTGCGCCATGTGGGTAGCTTCCTGTCCAGGGATCGAATTTGTGATGCAGTGATTGTGGCTAGCTTCATAGGTTGCGTCTTAACTCCTTGCACCACTTGACTCCTTGCCCGGTAGTTTGTTATTTTAGAGCATGAGAGAATATCACCTGTGATTAAAAACATGAGATAGGAAATAGCAACTTATTTGTTTTGTTCTTAGCTCTGCTTTTGACTTATTTTTTACTGATCTAATCAGATCCAGGCACTTTCCAGTTGCACATTAAACGCTTATGCATCTTAAATGTATATTGAAATAAATGCATTGGCTAGACTCTGACCTACGGAGAACACCTAAATTATTGCTAATGAATGAATTCTGGGCAAGAGAGAAGAATCCATACAAAGGCCACCTTCAGTTCTGATTATTGATGATAATGAGGACTGCTTTGCTACCTACTCTCCCTTTACCTTATTACACAACTCCCAGGTGCAAAATACAAATACTTATCTGTGGCTGTATTTCCTTAGCCAAAGACTCACCATTTCCTCAATTAAGGTCCTGTTTTTATTTACTTTTTAGAATACAGGAAATGCACAAACTGAAAGGAAGAAGACCTGCCAGATGTAGAGTAGAAAATGCGGCAGCTGAAAATTCAGGGAATCCCAGAATCACTGTATGGCTTAAAAAAAAATCCTTTTTATTAATGTTACATACTCAAAAATGCTAACTAGAGAATTCTAGAGATATATCATAAATCCTGTGTAGTTAAGTGTATATTCACCCACATTTGTTTTTAAATTTATTAATCTTTAAATTATTCATGTTTTCTTAATTTTAACATTAATTTATAAAAACTACCTGCCAAACTGCGACATCCTAATAAAACTGCAGCTTACATAAACTCATATAATTTTATTTCTTGATCTCTTATCTTAATCATAGTTGATTAGTAGTAATTCTTAGCTTTGGTCCAGGGCTATATAATTATAGTAGGAGAAAGTTTCTAAATGTGTAGTAAAGGGCAATCCCAGTGTCTGGGACCACTAGACATTTCGGACCAAACAAATATACTTGATAAACAAGAATGGGTTTGGTTCCTATTGAGCATTCTGGAAAAGTGTTTAAAAACATGAAGATTGTTTAAAAGGATGGAAATTGAGCAAAGCATTGACTCAGATCGTTTGCCTTGCCCAGCATGTTTATCACTTAGTAGTTAACATAAACTAGATTGTTACATATAACATAACATTAATTCAGTCAGTGTTTGGCAACATATATTTCCATTCTTATCCCTCCTTCTTACTGGCTTGGTTTCTAATTTTAGGGTGGAGATGGCCATTATGAGGGGAAGAATTTGAAGAGGAACAGATTTTTTTTCTGATAGTGTCTTTTAAATCTTAAAGATATGAATTGGCAAGACTTCCCTTTTTAATAATGTGTAATAGACACATTATAGGAGCTGGTAAGACAGCCATTTGTCTGCATTAACATCCAATTTTGTTTCGTAAGCAAAACATTCACTGTTTTCTTCTTTATTCTAAGAATTCTGTTGATGTGATACTTTGATTTGAAATGATAAAGTCATTTCTCGCCCTGCTTCTTGTCATGATTACTGAGTAGGTAACACTTCCTGTCATATGACACTCACTGTATTTGTACTGATCCCTCCCTCCTGCTAGTTGTGTAATATCAAGTGTGAATTATTTACTACAATGCTCTAGTTCTCTGAAGTGAGTTTGGTTTTTTTTTTTTAATGAAGTACAATTGTTTTTACATTTAAGTGAGTTTTTTTAAAGATTTATTTATTTACACAAGAACTGGAGTACAGGTCAGAGGCACAGGAGGGTGAGAGAATTCACCAGAGACAGAGTGGGGAGCGGAACAGGCAGATGGACCAAAGACACTGCTGAGGGGAGCAGCGGATGAGGCAGGAGAGGTCTGCCTCGCCATGTGGGTTTTTCCCTGGCCGGCCGGCGGGGAATTGAACCCATGCTGCAGAGGCTGCGGATAGCTTCACAGCGTGGTGCTCAACCCACTGCCCCACCGGGAAGGCCCTTAAGTGAGTTCTTAATGACATATCTGATCCACTGTTTTAAAAGCTGACTAAAAATATTGAATATGTTCTGTTAGCTATAAAAGCATTGAAAATTCATAAAATATTTGAAAATTATGTTATTCAAATATTAATTAAATTCTTTTAACCTTTAAAATAACTACCAGCACTCTTAGTTTCCTAGTTCCATCTGATAGTTCCTTTTATGTAATGCAGATTTTTTTCTATTTTTTAAAATAAATTATGCCCAACCCAGAATACTACCACAATTATTCATTGTCCTGTTGAAAAAACAGTAAAATGGGATTGCTTGTGTTTACTTGTATTTTACCTCAATTCTAACTTATTTCATAATTACCAATTATTTTTTAATATTTATTTATGCATACAAGAATTGGGGTACAGTCCAGAGGTGTGGGGGGTGAATGGGTTCGTCCGAGACAGAGTGGGGAACAGAACAGGCAGATTGACTGAAATACACTGCCGTTGGGAGCAGCGGGCAAGTCAGGAGAGGTCTGCTGTGCCATGTGGGTCACTTTTCTGGCCAGGGACCAAACTCGTGCTGCAGTGGCTGCTGATAGCTTCATAGTGCTGCGTCGTAACCCCTTACACCACCAGGGAGACGCCATATTTATATAATTATATATATATGTATTTTTTTTTAAGATTTATTTTTTTATTTATATATACAAGCACTGGGTACAGTCAGAAGCGCGGGAGGGTGAGAGAATTCACCAGAGCCAGAGCGGGGAGCAGAGCAGGCAGAAGGACCGAAGTACACTGCTGAGGGGAGCAGTGGATGGCAGGGGAGGTCTGCGCGCCATGTGGCCACCCTCCTCCGGTGGCCGGGGAGCAGCTGGGGATTGAACCGGCGCTGCAGAGGCTATGGGCAGCTTCGCAACCCAGGGCTCAACCACTGCGCCACCAGGGAGGCCCTATATATATATATATACACATATATATATGTGTATATATATATATATATAATTTTATTTTATTGAGGTTATGTTGTTTTACAGAACTATATGTGATTCAGAGGTATGGGATTGTACCTCTTCAAATATATGTCATCAGTCACTTCCA